TGACCCCTGGATAGGGCACATTGAGCCTCCATTGCGTTCGGTCTTGAGCTTCGGATCACTCGCTCTCAGTCGTTCCAGCTCTCTTTGCCTCAACTGCAAATAACTATGGATAACTAATATTCTGTAGCATCGTTATTAAGCCTTTTTCGAAATTTAGAATCAGCTTTTTTACAAGGAAACGTAATTTGACTTTACCAGCTTCCGTTTACCGGATTTTTCTTCAACTCTTTGGTTCTTTGATAAAAATCTCATCACGCCGAAATAAATATAGTAAACTAAAACCCTGATAAGTAGTGCAGTTGGAAAAGTTTAGATTACAAAAGGTTTCACTGTGCTCTCGTAACAAGATTAATACTTTTACCTTCACATACTAAATATAATAAAAAAGGAAAATTTATAGTAGTTGAATAGATTATTATGTTTTTGGGCCAAAAGTATTTATGACTTGGATACGTCATTCGTTTGAGTTAAGATACAATAAAAGAAGACTACAACCTCACGTGAATCCACGAGATTTGAAATGTGACTTGCTAATAGCGTAATAAAGTATTCTCAGAGAAAAATAAAAAATTTAAAATAATAAAACTGACTTCAAAAACCTCTCAATTGAAAAGGTAAATACCGAAATATTAATTTATTATTTACCAAGTCCTATATTATACACGTCCTATAAAGTAATATTGCCTGATAACTTATGTAGATATACATAAGTACATATATATATATATATATATATATATATATATATATAACGAACTGTAAATAAATGTTATTACCGAGTTTATTGAGACTTGGATATAATTGATTTTTTACGGGAAATTTCTGGCCTGCTCATATATCCAATTGCATAGTACATAGCCTATTTTGTAGTCGGTTAAAACGATAGAGGAAACAATGCTGTCATCTCCATCTGGCAGAATCTCGCTTTGATGTCGCGAAGGCTGTAAAGCGTAAACCACTTTAAAATGTTCACTGCAGGTTATTCAACGTACTCAAGCATTTACATAAGCCAATGCCCTGAGCGCAAATTGTTGAATCAAGCTAGAACCAAATTACTTTAAGGCTAATTTCTATCTGTACTAGATTTGCAATGTTCTTTTAGTAATCAAACCAAGATACAATTTTCTTTTGTAACAAAAATTGTCTGGAAACAGGATATATGTGTTAGCCTAGCAACGGGCGACACATAACGTACGTTCTATACGTTTATCTAGGCTTTAGGTTATAAGGAAACAATTCAATGAACTAGACACAGATATCTCTTTGAAATTAATATGACATTATGTAGTATATTACCGTTATTAGCATTTGTTCGTGAAACAATTTAAATAAACTGTCAAGCTGTATATTGTTAGGATGACGCACATTTCTAGATAATTCTAAGCGTATTATTCCTAATGTTAATTATTGCAATGTTCTTTTGGTAATCACAAACCAAGGTAGAATTTTTTTTGTCACAAAAATTGACTGGAAACACGATATATATGTGTTAGCGTAGCAACGGGCGACTCTTAACGCGCGTTCTGTACATTGACTTTCCCATGTACACATGAAAAACATGCTTTAGAATCGACGACAGGAAAGAGAAACTGAACTAGACACAGATAACTCTTTGAAATTAATATGAGATTATATATACCGTTATTAGTATTTGTTCGTGAAAAATTTAAATAAACTGTCAAGCTGTATATTGTTAGGATGACGCACATTTCTAGATAATTCTAAGCGCTTCCTTATGTTAATTACATTTATTGCCAGACTGAAAGTCAAATGTCAATATTTTCATACTTTGGCTGCGTAGTGATTTAATTTGCCTATAGGCTCTCCAAGCAACTGAGAATCTGGAGTGGGATTAGGCCCATATATCGTCGTACTCTCACTCCCTGCACTACTGAAAATGCGAAAATACATTTCCATATCGGATATAAGAAAAATATATTTATAAAAACTAAAGTTATCATCTCTGTGTAAATACTACCTACTACAGAAAAAGACGATAGAGTACTGTTATTAAAAAAAGTGCACATAAACTAACATATTTTTATGAAAGAGTAAAATTATTGATCTGTTGTTAATCATTTTATTTCTCGTTAGAATATTCAATCTTCAAAAGCCTTTAATAACTAATTTTAATCCCAATACCGAACGAATCTTACGTTAATCATTATTTACCACCACTATGTGGAATCAGCTGCCCACTGAAGTATTTCCGAACCAATTCGACTTAGGGTCCTTCAAGAAAAGAGCGTACCAATTCTTAAAAGGCCGGCAACGCACTCGCGAGCCCTCTGGCATTAAGAGCGCCCATGGGCGGCGGTATCACTTAACATCAGGTGAGCCTCCTGCCCGTTTGCCCCTGTTCTATAAATAAATAAATAATCATTCAGAAAAAAAAACAAAACAACATCTTTGTCTTGTTCATATCGCTGGTATAGTCTATTAAACTAACCTTCACCTACTGAGCTTCAAGCAAAAGATTTAATAGGAACAGATGTTCGATTAGGTGCAAAAGAATTTTTTCATACTAATTCTTGGCGATGACTCACATGGCACGGTTCACTTACAACAAACCTCGCCTTATATGGTGTGGCCTTTACGCAGGACGTATTTATAAGGCTTAAATATAGGCTGCTTTCAAAACAGCGCCATATGTTTGAGATTGACGCTTACCAAATTTTATTCGAAAGTCTCGAAATGACTATTATGCAAATTATAATGATTATATAAAAAAATATGCAGTGTTGGCTTCAGCGTACGACTCTCATACCGGAGGTCATTGGTTTGACCCCCGGCTGTGCACCATAGGACTTTCTTTCTATACGTGCATTTAACATTTGCTCGAACAGTGAAGGAAAACATCGTGAGGAAACCGACATGTCTAAGACCCAAAAAGTCGACGGCGAGTGTCAGGCACTGGAGGCTGATCACCTACTTGCCTATTAGATTTAAAAATGATCATGAAACAGATTCAGAAATCTGATGCCAAGACCTAATGAGTTGAAGCGCCACTGATTTATTTTATAAGTATAAAAAAATATAAGAGGAATTGTAAACTTCATTTGAGTTTTATCGATTACTAAACATCCTACTGCTTACGTGTGAAACATCAGAATGGAATAAATTCTGGGTTTTGGAGAAGTTTGTTCCCGGTGCGCTCCCAGCTTCGATGAATTCACTCGCAGCACTTGTTAGTTCGGAGAAAACATCGTGAGGAAACCGGTTATAACCGGTCTTATAAGACCAACATTGACGTGAATTACCTACAGAAGGATGATACTGACTTGTCCATAGACAAATTATTAATGAAATAGCTAATGCAAAAATTTTTCTGCCACATGCATGGTATATAATATACTATATAGTACTTCATACAATCGCTTAATTGTGTAAATAATTTATTAGTATGAACTCAGTAAATACAATTTCGTACACCACAATATGAGGCAGTTGCTACTCTGTTATATTGAAACCAATTCCTAATTTGGTCCGTTTTTCCTGCTTAGGACTTTTCAATGCTATTAAAATTCTATTTAAATTATTATATTTACTTAGTTGGTATTGAAACCATTGCCATCTAAACGAATATCTTTAAAGTTTTATCGACATTGACGATATGGTTGTTAGTATCACTTTTTTTGAGTTAAAAATATAACTGTGACAGTCATAGACTTTCTGTGTTTCTAATTTAAATTTTAACATAGGAACACAATAAGTCTAATAATCTATCTTATCCTTTATATATAAAAATTAATTGCCGTTGTTTGTCTCGCTAAAACTCGAGAATGGCTTTACCGATATGGCTAATTTTGATCTTGAAATATTTGTGGAAGGTCAGGGAAGGACTAAACGATGGCAGACTTAAATAAGTAAAGAAATATGCTAAAAACGATTATTGAATTTTCCAATAAAACTTTTCCTGACTGGGAAATATATGTTATCTTTAAAAAAAATCGTAACTTGTTTGCCATGTATAGATAGATGTTGATTAGATAGATATGGTTAGAAATTTGTGTTTCATAGCAGCTGTAGTATGAGGTCCGATGTTTTTGGTCTGATTAAAAAATCTAGTTTACTATATAAACGTAAATTCGTAATAATGTTATATTATATTTTTATTTCCACATAAAAACTTTTTCGAACCTACCAACTAAAAACTAGTTTTGTTTTGTTCTTATGTGGTCCATGAAATATGAAACGTTGTGTCATAAAAACTTATAGTAATACAATACACTCAAAGAGTCTCATCAATATGCTCTAGAATCTATGATTCGATCATATTATCGAACAAGGTTTTACCAAAATTTTCGCTTCTTTATTAAAACGATGCACAGTTAGTCTTTCATTTCATCATATATTCAAATTGTCAATGAAATTTTTAATAAATAACTCGAAATAAATAACATAGACTATAATATTTTCTTTTTATAAAGAGAAAATTATTGGAAATTCTAAAACAATGCACAAAATCTCTCACGCCCACAATTATCTTGAACTTATAGCCTTTCGAACATATTACAAAGGTTAAGATTATCAAAGTATTATTCAATGCTTTATTACTGTCGCAGCTCCTCAATGTTGACCAGAGATAATCACAAGGTGATATGATAAAAAATATTACTCCAAGTACAATTAAGGTTGGCCTATAGGATTATATAAGAATTAATAAATATAAAACGTGTTTATTATTTCATAACAATCAAATATACAGTATATTTACAATTTTCTTAACCTACATAGTAATAATAAAAATAAACAAAACTTGCTATATTGCGAGGAAATGCTGCCAGCGTTAAAGGTACACTGCCAAAGAGAACAAATTTTTACATTTGTTTTGATTTTATTTTTATTCGTTTTTTATATAAAACTAAAATAAATTCAAGAAGCTTGGTCCCTGTGGCCTCTTTTTGAATTATTCTCCTATGGGGCAGAGGGCACTGCGCCCACAGTGAGTCTTCATCACGCTCTACGTCTTTCCGGCTCTCTTTACCTCATATGCAACTCTACGACGCCAGGTTATCTTGTGCCAGCCACGCTTCTGCTTTCTCTCCTTGTTTCCACACAAGCGTCTGCTTGAGGATATGATTGGAATCTCTTCGGAGTGTATGGCCTATCCATTTCCAATCGTATCGCTTGATCTGCTGGCTAATTGGTGTTTTTCTGCAGCGCTCCAAAGTGACTCGTTGGAGATCTCCTCGGCCCAGTTGATACATGATGATAATAATTGATAGATACATTTCCTTGTTGAAGTTTATGTCGTATTTTTTATTATTGTCTTATAAGAAGGTCGCTTTTTTATAACACCACAACCTAATGGTAACGCGGGGCCAGAATTATTTATAGTAATCTCCGTAAGTCAAAAAGGTATTGGGATAATATACTGCCGTCCCAATGTCAATGTATATTTTGGTTAATTATCTTCGATCTCGGGACGTTATCTGTGGAGTAAGCTAGTAGAACAAAAATAATAATCCAGTGGCGCTTCAACACTATATAGGCCTTAGATTGCATCCGCCATTTGGTATTTTCTTATTTCAAAGAGGGTGGGTGATAAATCTTCTGTCTGTTGTAATTAAGATAGGTAGGACATAGGTAGGACAGGACATACATACAGTATAGGCACGAAAATATAATTTCCATTAATCCAATGTACTGTTACTTATGTAAAAGACAAGAAATTCTTATTAAATGCGTAGTTGCGTCATGGTTATTTCTGTGCAACGTTTTTGTTGCCAACGGACGTGTATGGACAGTCATTCTATAGATACAAATCAGAAGGACCTCTTGTAATAATGTTAATTCATCGAATACAGCTGGTGATGTTTACATAGCGATGACTAAAATATTTTTTTACTTTAATAATAATGACAAAACTATAAAAATGACTAATCATGGACAGAAATATGGTTTTGACAACTTTGTTCTAACTCCTCACTAATCAAAGTAATTATCAGTTATTATGTTAACGTCCTTCCCTCTTCCCCCCTCTTCCTACCACTCCTGCCCGTTAACCCCGTTCTTTATTATTATTTTGGCAAATTCCCTGTACAGACTTCCTAAACAAATGTTACATAAGGTTATTTATAGTAGTATAATATTCTTTATATAATACCAGTCGTATTTTTTTTCCTTTTTTAATGGCTCTGGCACGATTTGTGCATTAGCCAGCGTCAAGTATAGGATTTTTTTTATAATTCATGCTTGTCTTTAGAAATTCGACCGTGTCCTCCATGTACGGTTTAAGCACTCGCCCGGTACCGCACAACCCTCCCAAAAGCCGAGAACAAATTTAATTTAAATTAAAACTTGCCCTCGAACCGGGAATCGAACCCGGTACCCCTCACCTAGCTGCCACTTAATAAGACCGCTAGGCTATGAGGCCCCTAGTCGTATTTTACGAGTCGTAGATTTTTATGAAAACACCTGTCAATTACCATTTAGTATAACGCGGACGTAAGCACAAAGTAGTTTGAATAGGACATAGTTAACAAACAACTACTTCCTTCGTCTTGCAATACAAATTAGATAACGCAAGGAATATTAATGGCCGGCCGAATAGTTGAGCGTTATCGGCCAACTTTATCGACACGTCTTTGGAACATCCGTTATATTTTTTAATTTATGCAATGTCTTATTTAATATGTAATTAAAGTTCTGTGTTATAACTGTACCACCATAAATTTACCTCCTATATTCATTAAAACCAAAGAACTTTTAGATTGCATTATTTTGTCTCTTTCTGTCAAATTGTGTTTTCGCTATGATGACAAGAGAGACAAGAGTAGCTTGGTTTAATTAGTGCAATTTGACTAATTAAGTAATTATAAATAAGTGGTATGTCTATACAATAAAATATTAACTATATACGTGCCTTTTTCGTCCAGTCTACTCAGTTCACTAAGATTTACAGGTACCTTGGCTATGCATCGTTTTAATAAGAAGCGAAAATTTTGGCAACACTTTGTTTGATAATATGATGGAATCATAGATACTAGAACCTATTGATATGACTCTTGGAGTGTATTGTATTTCTATGAGTTATGACTCAATGCTTCATATTTCATGGACCACACAGAAACAAAACAATTTCATATGTTGTTGTATATTTAAAATATTATTTATACCCTAAGTATTTAAACATTCAAAGCTATAGGTACTCAAACATATTTTTAAAGGTTTAAAAAGTATTAATATATCAATCTTTTAATTTCAATTTCAAAGTGGGTTCTATTAAAACAACAAGTAACAAGTTATATTTTACGAAGTCAGTCGTACACATAATCATGAATTATTTATTTGTGATCATCAGGCATAAGGGGAAAATATAATGAACTCATTTTGGTATCTGACTAATGATTTATACGAAATTGGACAATTGTAACCATTTATAACCTCCACTATCCTCGAGTTCGGTGACTCACAAATCCTTAACTTATTACGTCACCCCACACATACTTGGCTGTCTCATCTCTCATACATTTAATAATGATTTACGTATTTCGGTATAATTCAAATTAAGTCTAGTCTAGCAAATTGTTTTTTTGAAACTAAGATTTCCCCGGAAAGCAAATATGTTAAATGTTGCATTTCTTAGAAATATTGCTTCATTACTACGTTACAAGTGTTTCGACCAGCTACTGTTCATAGATAATGAGAAGCTGTCGCAAAAGTTTCAACACTCAATCTCCAGGACCTTTTGTCGATCGATTAAATGTGTTTAAAAATACTTTTATCATGCGCAGTAATTACTTACAGACGTTGTCCTGTACACGTCTTAAATACAAAAACTTGAAACTTAAAAACAAAATCATTTAATTGTAAATCTAAACCATTCTCGAATCCACTTGAGCGGTTTAGGGAGAGTTTAATTAGAAACACACGCACATAAGATGTAATAAAAGTATAATATGTTATTAGAACAATAAACAATGGATTGTTCATGCAAAATTCACATTTTGTGTTCTGTGTGTTCTTTACATTAAGAGATGATGGATTTGAGTCTCAAACACTAATTTAATTGGATATCCAAGTGTAATCGTGTTAAAACAAAAATAGGGCCTAATTTAACTCAACGGTTTATTTCTAGAATAAAGCAACTATTTAGATCTAGATTTTTTTGTCACTATAAATAATCGTGAAATTAATTTCTGCCTTAATTCACGTGGATACTATATGTTTGCGTTTCCCACAGTAATATAACCGTGTGCTCCTATTTCACCACGCCTATTTCTAGTAGAGATTTTAGTTATTCTATTATTTTCTTTAAAAAGTGGCGAGAGAGTGAGTAATTGTAGCTCCTTACAAACACTTAAAATATAACTGGTGATTTAAAAGAGTGACTGAGAGTTTATGGCCACTTCTTCTCGTCCGTTCTACGTCCTTTATTGGAACAGGCAGAAGTTTTATAATAATAATAAAAATAATTTATTTAGAAGCATTAATTTTTTTCTCCATTAATGCTTGATTTGTAATTTACTGCCTTTTCACTATGTTGTCTGGTTTCGTTGAAAGGTGATTCGCATAATAATACATTTAAATACCTATGTAATTAAACAAATGGTCTTAACCAATACTAATGACTACTTTATATCTACAACACAATTAAACCAAGAAATGCGATATATGTGTGGTATTTCTTATGTATATTTTTAATATAAGCATTTTGTAAGAGTTTTTTGATGTAATGACGTAATGACCATGTCGATAACATAGTCTATAGTATTATGAAGGTAAAACTTATTTTAGTACCAAATTAATTACAATTATATTTTTTTATTGTGAAAATTCACATTGTTACTTGTTAAGAGGATTTTTTGCGTTCCAAAATACGTATTTTTTCATTTGTTAATTTTGTGAAAACATTTTCATTGTACATTGCTTATCTATGGCGCTATCGAAATTTTGATAAACATGGTTTCTATAAAAATATTTTAAGATAAAAAAATAATTGTAACTGTCTTAAACTATTCTAAATAAACATTTTAATATTTAATGAGAATTCTCTAATCAGGTAGCGCTGACCCCTATTGACCTACAATATAATGACCTTATTTTCATATAAATATAATCATCAGTAAAAAACTAATAGTCAAAGAAATCACACTAATTAAATACTCGAAATAAGAATTTATGTATTGCTACTAGTAAAACTGGTAAATTAACTCATTTATGGAATTAATTGTATAATTGGAGACAATTTAAAAAAGTTGTTGATTACTTTTTGTGTCGGAACTCAGCTTATTACATAATTTTTAATAACCTGAGTGAGTTCTGCACATTGAAACCCGTCGAACTCTGCTTATTAAGAAACAATGGTCAAAAAATTATACACTATTGGAACTGGATTTCAGCTTCATATAGAAATAATAACAATTCCCATTTTACTATAATCTTTATAATATCCAGCATTGGTTAATAATGCAAATGCCTTTACGTATAGCCAATATACGATTATTACTATTACGATAACTACTATGTAGACCTTAATATTCCAAACCGAGACATATAAAGCCTAACTGGATCATTCGTCACATTGATGAGGTATAAATTGTTTTTATTGAGCAAGAAACGATCATACGAACAGACGGCGCCAGACAGATAACAAGCCATTTCGTTGATCATGGAGACCTCGTCTCAAGTAAACGTAACGTATTAGTCATACATATAATAATAATCCTTCTTTTGCACGAATATGATATACAATATACACCCTCATTCCGCTGGCTCTGAGACTGAAAGTTTTGGCCTCCGGAACGAGAAACTTCCAGTCCTCTGATACCTGCTTCTAATTGCTGGATTGCAGATGCAGTAGGTCTGATAGCGGAATAATAAATGGTTATATGCCAGTCTCACACGTACACTTTAAGTTAATTTGGTGAAATTTTGAATTACGTAATTGACAAAACAAAACTATTTAATAGCTACGTCATTTGCATATCTGTATTATTACCGAGTTTTATGTTTGAATTTGGCAAAGACATTATAGAACCTATATTATATATTTTATTTTAGGACTTTTTGTCGTTATTTTAGAATATTTATCACGATTAAGTTGGAAGCTGCAAACACAGTTTTTAATTACTTAATTTTACGTAATATTCGGTTTATAACATTGTTTAACGCGGCGTATTTGAGGCCGCGTTATTATAACTTTTTGAAGAGTTTTAAACATGTGTATGTTATTTTGGTATAGTTCCATTTTAAACCATACGGTATCGTAAAACGGACCTTGATTCATAGTTATGACTATGATGTAATTACCACAGATGATTGTTATGGTCGGGTTAACATTATCCTTTCCTTATCAGTGCGACCTTCGCGTTAACATTTCTGAAACTGGCATAAATTGTTTAATATAAATGTGCGCTGAAATTAATATTATATAATGCGTCTGTATATGTAGGCACCTCACATTAAGAAATTTTTAAGTTTTATAATTTTCCAGTTCACAGTGTTATCAGTTTACGGCTATTTTGTATTTAAAAATATTTTGATTGTAACACAATTACGATTAATTTTTCGTTTTTATTACCTTTCACTTGCAATAGGTATAAGTACGCCAGTAATTTTAAAATTTTCCCACGTTTCAATGGGGTAGGTACAAAGCTACCTGTCACCCGAGACTTTATATCTATATGGCCATTATAGATTCATCACTTTATTGATATGCGATACGGATTCTTAAAACGGAACATCAGTGTTACGTTTCGTGTCAAATTCTTAAATATTAGTCATAATTTTTACGAATACGCGTTCTATAGAAAATAACGTTTCAAATACGCTTTTTATAGATCAATTATAAAGGAAATTTCAATTGCCTACTAACAACGTATTAAGCAAAGTATTTGATCGACAGTACTTATAGTGTACAATATATTCGCCGACCTTGTTCCAACATCTCTCGGCAGGCGGCTGGCCTCATTTCTCTTCTCGTTAAGACGAAGGTTGCAATTTTCTCGTAAGTTATCTACTTTATGGCTTTCTGTTAATTTGAGAATTTAACTCTATACAGGCTTTATATATTGACCATATTCAGCGATCAAGAAACCGATACAGAAATGTGAAAGTATGACTTGGGGGACTGATATTAAAAATATATATTTGGGAGCGTTCAAGTATTACGTAACGAATTTTGGGGGGAGGGGGTCCTTTTGTAAAATGTTACGATACGGGGCGGGGATTGAATTACGCGTTATTTTTAATATTATTTTCGACTTTCCAGTAGGTACTTTACAACGCATTATGGTGACTTTTAGGTATAAAGAGTCACTATGTGGTCACGAAACGTTTTACTATACTTGGGTACAGAAAAACGTTACGGCACGTTACATGGGGGGTCAAAAATTGCGTGACGTAATACTTGAACGCTCCCTTTAACAACCTTTACTACCTACTTACTTATATCAGGAATTTTGTAATTATAATGTGGTGTTCATATTTCGTTTAAGCAAAAATAGCATGATGTTATTGTATAAACTTTACTCGGGTCTACCATGTCACAAACTAGACAATTTTTTTTACATTACGCGAAACAACAAAGGTCTTACTTTATTCAAAGTAATGAAACAATCTTGCTAATAATGCTTATAAATAGTTAAAGCGGCCACAATGCTACACACGAACCATAGACAAATTTCAGGCTCAAAATTCGTTTGACAAGAAAATTGTTCTAGGCATGTTATGCGTATTTCCCGCGATGTCACTGTGTTACAGCTAAGTATTCGTCACTTACTTACTGAACTCCTCGTTTCAGATTAACAGCAAGTACAGTGAAGAATTAGCGGAGGAGTGCTTAGAATGGATCAAAGTGATCACCGGCGAAAATATCGACACGTCAGGGGACATGGACAACTTCTATGAGATCCTTAAAGATGGAACTCTTCTTTGCAAGTAAGTATAGTTACTGTATAAAAAGTAGAAGTAGTACTTTTTGTACTATAGCTATTAGCTATTGTTTTAGGTAAATTTTTATAAAGTCTTTCGTAGGTTTATTTTTCCTGTATGTTTTTCCATCATATTTTCACAAATTTCTGATCTCCAAATTTTGATGATTATATGAATCATATGAATGATTTTTTATTATGTAATCTTGTATCGCATGTTTCTGTTAAACGCAAATGGCCTTAATCGGCCTTAGGATAATTCCTGAGTTCGAATTCTGGCGAAACAATAATTGATTCAGTTAGCCACAGAAGGCCTGAAAAATAAAATGAAAAAGACATTTTTTTTAGCCGAAATGTCCATATTTACATTATAATTAATTTATGAATCGAATATTCCAGATTGGCGAACCACATAAAACCTGGCCAGGTGAAGAAAATTAACGAATCCAAAATGGCGTTCAAATGTATGGAGAACATTAACGCGTTCCTTGAAGCCGCCAAAATATTCGGCGTACCTGCGCAGGAAACCTTCCAGACCGTTGATCTGTGGGAAAGGCAGAACCTCAACTCCGTAGTTATCTGCTTACAGTCGCTTGGTAGAAAAGTAAGTTTTTTTTTAGCCTTATCCTATTCCCTAGAAATTTCTTCGTTTAATGTGACCAATTCAAAGAATTGCAGTTGGTGTATTGGATTTATATAATACCAATTGATTTTTCTCAATGTGCGCATTTACACTTGCGTACGCAGGTGTCAAGCTGATTAACTTTTTGCCATAGGTTTCTTTCTCTTCCAAATTTATGAAATCAAAGAAATTGCTGTGACCGAATGATGAACTTTATATAATAATAATATGTCCTTTCAGGCCCATAACTACGGTATGCCCTCAATAGGACCTAAGGAAGCGGAGAAAAACGTTCGCAACTTCACTGAAGAACAGCTCCGGGCAGGCCAAGGTGTTATTTCGCTTCAATACGGCTCCAACAAAGGCGCCACTCAGAGCGGAATCAACTTTGGCAACACTAGACATATGTAAGCGTACGATAATCTGTGCATTACCAACTTTGACCACAGATAATAACAATGGCGCCAACTGCCACAGTCAATAAATGTTCAATGGTTCAAGCCATAGTAGATGTAACAAAAGTACTTAGAGTGAATGTACTATCAGCAAAATAGTTATCTATACATAAAGATTCCTTTAATCATTTTGGACTTATTACAAAAGATAAGTTAAATACTCTTTACATCCAAACTCCTTTACTCCGCAGATTTGTTTGACACCCAGTAGTAAAACCATTTTTATGCTTGATTTTTTGCTGCTCTTTTTTTAAATATTTTGCTGATGGTACAATTTAATTGTATTAAGGACCATTTTACAAAGATTTGTAGAATCTCTAACAAATTTCTCTTAAATGCTTTTTATAATTCATTCCGACGAGTCATTCCATGCGATTTTGTAATTCTTAAAGTATAAGCTTTTCCAACTTACTACCTAATTAATATTAGTAGCTATTTTCGTAAGCTAGCATTTTGTTTTTTTCTTATTAAGATTTTTATAATCCTGTCAATATTTAAGTGACAATCTATACTTTGCAAATTCCATTTATGAAAGTAAAGTGCCTTCGCAAAACCCATAGGGTTTTTTATTGTGGAGGGTGACGTAATAGTTTACAAAACTATCGAAAGACTTTTGATTCGTATAAGAATTTAATATTCATTCCAATTTATATTTATTGTTACTCTGTGATTAACCGTTAAAAATCCTCTATTCTTGTAGCTATAATTAATATTATGTATATTTTTATGATTTTTGTAAGTTTCACGAAGTGTAAAAACTTTATGAAAGTACGTAGAAATAAAGTATCTCAAAAAGTGTTTGTTTTAATTTAAATACACATAAAAAAGTGCGTGCGTACAAAGTACACATGTCAGAAGTGAAACTTCTTTGGCAAACTAATCTTTAAGTCTTGTTCATATTTATACAAATCTAAATCATTTTTTTAACATAATTGTTTATTTACAATTAAGTATACGGTATTTACAATTTTCTTTACCTACAAAGTAATAATAGAAATAATTAAAATGAAAATCAAAACCAATTTAAAAAGTATGGTCCCTGTGGCTGTGTATCTAAAACATTAGATTTCAGATACTTTGAGAGATGGAAAGAGGAAGATATGTTAGGAATTTAATAAATTTAATTGTTATTAAAGTGTTGAAAATTAATATAAATTATATATATTTTTTTTATTTATTTCTTCGATAATAAGAACTAGAGATGAAACGGATAGCAGTTTGGCCGGATATTCGACCAAGTATGTGGCAGAATAGCCAGATATCCGGCGGAACTTAGCCGTTTGGTGTATCAAACATACACACACATGCGGGTGATTGATGCTGCAAGAGCACGCCAGGAGATCTTATAGGAATATTTGAAAATGTCTTGTGAAGAGTCCTCAAGTAGCAGTTCATTATCAAAACCGTCATGACACGTTTAAAGATTGCTTTGATGAGGTAGCAAATGAAAACAATACTGACCAGGTTCAATGTGAATAAAGAAACGCGTTAACCTGTGAGCTAGATTTTTATCTCAAGTCAGTGCGAATTGATCGCAATCGTGACCCTTATGGTTGGTGAGCAGCTAATGCCAAACAATACTTAAATTTAATAAAGTTTGCCAAAATCTATTTTTCAGCACCTTCCAGCGGTGTGTACAGCGAATGACTTTTTTCTGAACCTAGCTTTATTTATGAAGAGAAACCAAACTGCTTGCTACCTACCCAGAGAAATTAGTATTTAACCACCATAATTTGCCCTTAGTGCAGTATGAGTACTAATTAATTCATTTTTTTTCTATTACATTCATTTACTATTGTGTGATTAAAAATTTCAAGTAAACCTAATTATGTTTCTTAACTGATACTAAGGTTCTGTTTCGCAATGTACGGATAAGTTCTACATAAGTTCCAAATTAGGTATTTATTACTTATTGGTAGGATAAACACTATTGTTGCTGTCAGATAACGCTGTTCGTCACATAAAGTCCATCTTAAGTTATGAGTCCGATGAAGTGTCAAACAGCACAATTTATCTTCCAAATAATTTATGTGTTGCATAGCTATTTTGTACTTTATCCATACAATGTGATCAGACCCTAATAATAATAGCCTTTATTCAGATACATTTACATTTCAACAAATTTCCATTTTAATCCTCTTCTAGTGTATCTGTGTGCCCATTTTGGCAAAGGCCTCCTCCAAATCCCGCCATTCCTCTCTGCACTGTACCATACAAAACAGACCCTAAGACTAAATTAAGCAATAATTGCTTTTTTAATTAATATCGTTTAATATAACTACACAAAAATAGACTCTTAAGAGTAAAATACCGTTTATGAGCCTCCTGAAACATCAATGGTCTTTGTATAGCTGCTCAAAGTTAGAGGACAGGGCGATTTCGCCCTAAGCAAAAAAAATTAAAAATGCCCATCTGTTGATAGTACGATGTTCGAACATACGGCTGATTCCAATTTTTTGAAGTGTCTGGAAAATGACCGACGGCTCCATACCCACTTTGTGCAAGGCGATCACTGCAATCTTATTTTCGTTAATACCCCATTCCATATTGTAATCTGATAATGAACACGAAAAAATATGTGAAATGGCGCAAAATCGAAAGTTTTTAAAATAATATACTTGTTCCAAATTCAAAATGATGAAAAGGTTGAAAAATAGAAAAGTTTTTATGTCTGTTACATAAAAACTTTTACGACAGACTAAACTATTTATGGCCAGACTAGTTATATATGTATTTATTTAATTGTATCTATACTAAAATTCGATCTTGCGTTAGACTATTGCATCTATTTTAGGATAGCAACATAAATTCCGCGATAATGTAGACATACCTATCTATTGTGTGATATAATGGGCTTAATGATGTGAAAGTTGTTATTGCTATTTCTCCTTGCGGGGTTTGGTTCTGACATAATACAAAATACTCATAGTTTTGTTTGAAATACGGCAGAATTTGGTGTTTATTGTTAGACATCGTTCGGATATAATAAGTTTTCAGTTCGAATTCTGCAAAACATTTATTTAAATATTTAATATATTATTATAATCGACTAAAAATGTTTTGTGTACGTAGGTATATAATTTCGTATTTACCATCATTATACCTAACAGTCCTTTGTTATAGACTACTTAAGTGTCGGATACCATTGCCCCCCAGCAATGTCTTATCAATTCCGATAAACCCAAGTGACCTTTCGACAAACTTTATACATACATTATACATATGTGTATGTATATAATTATATCTCTTAGACTGTAGTTACTATCCACTATATTTCTGTTTTATTAAAAAAACAAAAAATCCTATAATTCAACGATTAACACTCAAACCGTGGTTTTATATGTACCAATAAGTTAACTGGAATGCGGTCATGTGGATTAAGCTAGAATTAACGTGATGCTCTTCTCATATGAGAGATTTTTCTTCTATATACCTAACGAAAATATGGTCCCAGCTAAATGAATGTACATACATAAAATTGTTCAATGGACGGTTTGAGTCGACAAAGACTATACTTTATTTCATTATGTTAGTTTATTATGATCCGCAATATTGCGAGAACTTTAAGACGTACCTTAATATATTTATATTACATACCTATAACATCTTGGTTATAAATGCAAAAACATATAATGTATAGATATACGTTCATAAATCATGGTTTTGTAAGAGAGTGATTACGGCTACATCACCACAATTTTTTTTTTTATGTTCGAATATACGTAATAATTATATAATCCTACTAGTGGACCCCACAGACGTTGTCCTGCATGATATTTAAAGCGATTAGGATATTAAGCAAAGTATGAAAGTACCGACTGCAGTGCCATCTGCCGGGCTGATTTGTGAATCTAAACCATACCCAGATCCCCTTGAACACACACAAAAATTTTATCAAAATCGGTCCAGTCGTTTGAGAGAAGTTCAGTCACATACACACGCACACAAGAAATATATATATTAAGATATATCCTCCGTTAATCCTAAATCTAAAAGTCTCTTTTATCGATATATTAAATAAAAACTATCGACTGACCAAGACACGATAGCGCGAGTTTTATATTTCTAACTAAAATCTATCCAACTGATAACAAAGCCCTTTCTATCTATATTGCATTTTTACAAGACAACCTACACACAGCCTGTATCATGTCATATGACGTATGATATCAGTAATCAGACATGAGACACATTGGGTAGGCCGTAGGTATGAGATCGGATTTAATTAATCTGACAGGCCTGCATGTATGTCAATTGTCACTGACAAAATGTCAGTATGAACGAGATTATAGTAAATATATTGTCACCGTAAAATTGTAAATATCGTTGTAATCTATTTCGCGAGATTGTGAACTGTCGAAAGATTGTGTACTTCAACATACTTCTTACAATTTAACGTATTATTATTACATATTATTATTCGGTAGATTATAATCTATCAAAGTAAAACCGTCAAAATACAATCTTAAAATTGTCAAATTGTCAACTGTCCGAAGGCTGTCCCTGATTGGTCGGCTTTATAGTAGACCGTTCTGTGTCCATAGAGTTAGGAATGAAACACTATTACTTAGTATGTAATCAATAATTCTGATATCACATGGTATGATAAAATTATATCAAAATAAAAAATCAGAAACGTAACAATATTTTCTTCTCAAACACAAATTAAAATAAAAAAAGGAATGAAATTTTCTTTAAGGAAAAAAACGATCGCAAAATAAAATCAAAATTTAAAAAAAATATCGAAAACATATGAACGTTTTCGAAAAGGTCACAAAATTGTCTATTAGATAAAAAATATGAAAGTACACCAATAAAAATGTTCACTTATTGTTGTATACTATATTGTTGCACGTCGAGCTGTGGCACCAGAAGTTACAAAGAACATTGGCTTTCTTGCAATTACACTTCTTCGAAACGCATTGTCCATGTTTTTTTTTTTTGAAGTTATACTTCTTTAGGCGCGTTATGAAAAATTTATGAGAGTGAAATTTTACAATGCGCGCGCACCCGTGACACAAAATTAGGAGTGTGATTATAGCGTGCGCGAGCGAGATAGGAATAAGACAATCTACAAGTAAAAAGAAATAGAATATGCGTGAAGTTCGTATGCCAACAATTTTGAATGACCATAATGACATTTGTCATTTACCTTTCAAACAAATAAAGGAGTTTTAATTATTTTTTCAAAGAAATTTAGCGATGCTTTTTGAATTATAATCAAAAGTGATTTAAATTGAATATTTAAACCAATACTAATTAATATTTGTGAAAAAACTGTGCTCATCAACCTTCCTAAGTGCTTCAATACAATTGAGGTTAACTATCCGTATGTATTATTATTATTATCGAGTAATGTTTTGATTAAAAAATTAACCACATTGTTTAATCAAAACATGTAATTTTTCTGATTTTATCTAGCAAATATAAGGAAAAGAGACAAAAAATAATTGATGAATCAGTGTAACTGCAATAAATTGAATACAAAAAAAGAGTTTTCATCTTATCGCTGTGAAACATCAAAAACTGGAGGTGGAACAAAGCCAAACTATTTTTAATATTGCCAAAGAAGTATAACTTCTTACGCGCGTACATAAGTACACGGACCCTTTTTTTTCAATTACATTGTTTCATTCCTTGCCCGCCGAATGATGAAGACATTGATGCAACCGTTCTCAACGGTAATGTAACCTGAAATAAAATTGAGGTAAATCTCAATGTTCCGGTTTGAAGTGCCAAACCAGCAAATATAAATATATTATATTGCTAAAATGAAGGGTACAGGGAAAGAAGGATCATAGTCAGTATTTTTCCAGAGTTGACAGTGCCATCTAGTAGTAAATTAAGAAAGCTATGGAATGGTGAAATCAAAAAATGTTAAAAGAAATCAAAGTCAACATGAGGCTCAAAAAAGTTTACTATGGCTCACAGTCACCTCTCGTTTCAAAAAAGATCATTTTCTATGGACACTGATCTTTTTTTTGACATTTGTAGATGACATGACAGGTTACAGTAGTCTGATCTGTGGCCTGGCCTGGCTTTATGAAGTTTATGTTTTGTTAAGTTAAAACAGGTTTATATTAAAACGTAGTAATTAAAATAATAAAAAAAACATGTCATTCAGAATATGTATTAAGCTGTAAATTTAGTGGAAAATTCATAAAAATTGACCATGTAAAAAGGATCATAGTCAAGTGACTTTGATCTTTGTTATTTAAGTAATTTAATTAAAGATCCAATTTTTTTTTTTTTTGTCATAAAAAAAAATTGTTTTATAATGTGAATCATTGGCCTACATGTCCTATATAAAAGTGTGTACTTTAGTAGTAGTTTAATAAATTTATTTTAAGAGTAAATATGTTTTTTGTTATTATCTCAAAAATATTTTTTCTTCACAGTGATCTTTCTTTCCCTGTACCCTTCAAATGTATTTTACGGTAACATTAAAAAGTAAATTAATACTGACCGCTGGAATGACACTTAGTAGTTCTGCATTTGGACAGGAAAGAACAGCATTTCGTGGCATCCAATCTTTAATTATGCCGAAGGCAGTGCCAACTTGATATAATTCGTTCTTTTTCATTAAAACTTTTCCAATCAGGTATTTACTGTCCAAAGGTCCCCTGTCAACTTTTGGGACTTCAACTAAAACAGTGGAACCAGTACTGATATCTTTAAATTTCTTAGACGATGTAGATATCATATTATCTGCCGCTCTTTTTAAATTTACGTGCGATTGTGTTCTTTCTTGTATGATTTTACGTCCATTCGCACACAAATTGCAAAGCAATTGCAATCCATAGTCCTCATTTCCCTCAGATACCACTCCACATATGGCGTGAACTATTTTCTTGCATTCGGTACATGTATGAGCTCCAGATGCTTCTTCGTTGCATATGTTACACATCAAATAATTCCTTTCTTGAGTGATGTTTTCTTCGTCAATATTTTCGTCTAGTTTCCCTTGTTTTTCTACATTTATGCTATCCGTAATATCTAAAGATATTTTTTCCTGCTTATTATCTGGTTTACGAATAATAACATCCGTAACTACAGGTAAATTTTCATGTAAAGTAGGGAGTAGTATTTGTTCAAACATAATTATTTCATGACCCTCTGTTGTTGTTTCTTCTTGTTTAATGTTCTCAATTTTTGAAATATTTATTGTATTTACAATTTCCTGTTCTTCCTCTTCTTGATCTTTTTCGCAATTTTGTTCTTTTTTGCTATTAATTTCCTTAAAAAATTTTTGCAAATCTTCTTCATTTTCTAATTTGGATATTATATTTTTAGATAAGTAGGTGGATGAGAGTCCAAGTTTTGGATCCTCGCCAAACAAAGCTTTATATGGAGTTCGAGCAATTGTTGAATGGTAAGATGAATTTTTCTGGAACTGAACGAAATAGCATCCAATTGACCAATTAGTCGATTTATTATCTGTCATCCAGGCTTGAATCATATTTTTTACGTCTTGATTTGAACGTTCTATACTTCCTTGGCTTTGCGGATATCTCGGTCTCCCATTAACTATTTTACAAGCAGGCCACAAACTGGCTATTTCTTTCAGTACAGATGCTGTGAACTCGCGTCCATTATCACTTTGGAGGATATGAGGACACCCAACTTCCAAAAAAATCTTAAGAATTTCGATTGCCACTTCTTTAGCCTGATTGCTTTTCAATGGTCGCAAAAAACAGAATTTTGTTAAATGATCCTGATATTGTAATAACCATTTATACTCTTCATCTGGAGATGTTTGGAAGTCTACAAGATCCATTTGTCCCCTTCGATTGAAGTTGTGTGAAATCAACGGTTTTACAACAATGCCTTTTTTTGGAAGGCTTTTCTTTGATAGACATGTTTTGCACAAATTTAGGAATATTGAAACCGCAAATATTGGCACCACGTATTTATCTTTCAAGGCGTGAACAATTTTGTCTCGACGTCCATGTCCAGTGGCAATATGTGCGTCGAGTATCTTTTGATAATACTCTTCCGTTGGAATTATTTGTACAACAGGATCTGAAATATCCTTTCTCTTCATTATTAGAACTTTCTGGTTACCAATATTCATTACATCGTATTTCCTTGCATGATGGTAATGCTTGTTTGTTGATCGCCTACCTTGAGATTTTATTGTGTTGTACTCATCTATCAATTTTATCACACTTTGTATTCTTTGATTTGTCCATTGTAATTTTTTACTATTTTCATTATGCCCGCTGTAATAGTTTTGTAACTCTATGGTAAATTCATCCTGATTAACAATACCTAATATTTGTTGATCGACAGGCTCAATATACGACATTGTAAATATTATCAAATGAGATCACATAGGTTCACGCGCTTAAAAAATATTAAAACACGGAAAATGTAGGTGTGTAATTTAGACTATGTTAGGAGACCAACACTACCTTAGTTACCATTCAAACTGCACTTCTTTGGTCAATCACAGATTGATTTTACTTCCACAACAATTTCATATAACTAATTCTAAAGCTGTAAGTTACTTTCAACACGACATCAATTTACATTCACCAAAACACTGTTTACACTCGAGCTTCTACAACAAACGAATAATTAACAAACAAATATGGTGGCGCAGGGCATATGCCAACAACCAATCAGAGCGCGAGGTGCGTTCCGTTTCACAATTTGACGGTTTCACTTCGATAGATTACAATCTACCGGACAATAATTCGCTATTATTCGCTAAATAAGCAGTACGTCTACGACCTACATTGAGGTTCACAATCTTGCGAGATAGATTACAACCTAACGGTATTTACAATTTTATGGTGACATATTATAGAGTATAGACTTCAAACCAAAATAATAACCTTCAAAATTATTTATTCCGTAATTCCGTATAAATGTAAATTTTTATAATGTATGTAATCACAGAAATGCTAATTTTGACGAAATCTTTTCGAATCATGACTTCTTGTGACTTGTGGTCGAGAATCCAATATTAATAATGTTAAATAATCTTTACGAGTATTTTCAGAGCTTATTGTTTACATAGTGTTTTCTAGCCAATTTTCTTTAGATCAATTACTAATTAGATCATGAACTAATAACGGGTGATGTCGCAGTTACCAGGGGCATACGCGAATGGCTGGGCAATCGATACTGCGCCAGTTGACCTGAAGAATAATGATAAAGACGTAAGTGGCCCCCAGCAAAGTTGTTTGTCCTGATAACATGTCCTCTTTGACCTAGCGCACGCAACGAATACGTTTATTCCTTTATCAGACGTCATATTTCATCATTGTTTTTAACACTGGGTAAGTAAACAAACTACAAAGCTACTTAAGTAAGAAATACGCCAATATATGTTTGATCAGTGATTTGTGTGACACATGGAAAGTACGCTATTCAATCAGGTAATTTTTGGAGTTGCACTGCACATAAAATTATTCTCCATGGATTAATATAGTTAATAGTAATTATAGTGTCTATATTTTGATATTGATATCTGTATGCTGATACAAATTTTGCCATCGAAAAATTATCTTAATATTAGAAATAATAAATTCATAACATAGTGTTGACAAGGTGCCTATTTTTAAGCACAATCTAAGGTTTAGGATATTTTAAAAAAAGTTTTGTAGGGGAGGGTACAAGACACCACAACAACGAACAAATATTTAGTTGTTTACATTATCTCAGTACATAAATTCATCTAAGTATAAACATGTTAATTAGATAAATACCCTGGCTACTGACTTGATAAGGAAATAAAAATGATTCAAAATAATTATTATATATCATATATATTAAACTTAATCAATCTATTAAACTTATCAAATTTCAGAATCATTCTTATAAAATATTAAATTTAAGTTTTGTAATTGTTTTATAAGTGTACAGAATTATGTGCATTTTACTTTCCAATAGTAAAACTGATTATTCTAGGTTAGCAACAGTATTATTTTGCTTTGGTTCACAAAGCAACTTCGCACAAAAAATGTATTAAAATTTTAAATTGTTTAAACTTCGACAGAATTTGATTCACATAGCAAAAAATTATTTTAATAAATATTGTTACTATTGGTTTTGCTGTGCAGTACTTTCTTTACTTTCTGGAGAAACATTAAAAAATAATTTAAACTTTTTGTTGTTAACTGTGGCGGTCTCCACTTAGCAGAGTATAATCTGCCTTTCTTGCTTTTATGTTAACATTGATAAATTTCATAAATTCTATGATGGTATATTCTTCTTCTTATCTGCTCTATATCTTTATATAGACAAAACATGGAAAAAAATCTTACATGTGGCCTTATCTGCCTACTCATTACCCCCTAGCGCGGATCATTGCTATCAAGGGGTATCCAGGCTTGACCTTTGTCTCTGTCTGTATGATAATGGTCTCTATATAATATGTCTTCGCTGTAAAAGATAACGTCACTTGCTTCTGGAACCTCGCGCGAGAATCACGTACAGATTTACTAATTGAGATTTAAATTATTAACTATTCTTTCTATTTGGTTTCCTGATGGCTAAATTCGTGAATTGCTGTAATTTCCTGTCTCCAAATTAATTTATATTTGTGGTTGTGTGAAAAGACTTGTACATACTCTATTTTGAAGAATTTTGTTTCAAAAATTTATTCTGGTGGCATACATGTATCAATATACAAACCGGTTCATCCAAAAAATGACTATAACTTTAATGTACCGCGTAAACCCAATCTACTATTCGGACTACTCGGATACGATCTAATTATTAGAAAACAATTAAAGCTATTTCAATTTAAACGTTTTCTTTGCTATTGGCTTTACGATTTTGAATATTATAAGTTCGGCGTGTACCCAAAAGACATCACCTGATCGCGAGTACATCTTTGTGAAGAATATATATCACAATGGATATATTGGCAAATGTAAGTTGACCCATTCCTAATAGTTCAGAAGTTCTTTGGGATCAAAACTATAAAGAAAATGGTTATCGCCAGCAGAATTGGTGTCTATCTTCTGTTGATTTACAGCAGGGATCAAAGTTTATCTATTGCTTCGTTATGTTTAAATTGGTAATTAATGATAATATTTATGTAATTTTTTGTTGTTTTAGTATCACCCGGTGTTCAAAGCGTTCCTCGCTGGCTCCTTTTCTGGCACCTTTAGTACGATACTCTTTCAACCATTGGACCTTGTGAAGACCAGGCTACAAAATCCTACCCAAAATGTTGTTGCGACGACAGTCAGGTAAAACTGCTTGCTATTTCATTTCATTTTATAAATTATTGTAATAATTTAAGTGGTACTCGCGTGGCAGTATTTATTTAGAAAACCATTTTGACTTAGAAAAAATTTCTAAGAATCTATCATTACCTTTCAGTGGCAGAATCCAACCCGGCATGATAACAACCTTCGTGAACATTATACGTCAGGAACAAATAATAGGGCTGTGGCGTGGTATGGTACCATCCATAGCCCGTTGCGTTCCCGGCGTGGGGCTTTACTTCTCATCTCTCCATTGGTTGAAGACTAAATTGGGGAAGAATAGACAAGATCTAAGTGCCATGGAAGCGATCGCTCTAGGGGTCGTTGCTAGGACTATGAGTGGCGTTGCGTTGATACCAATTACTGTTATTAAGACCAGGTAAGCATGTACTAATAGTATTCTTAGATTATAACAATATATAAGGAATAGGTAAATTAGATGGGTCATGGTGTCTCTTTCCTACCAGTAATATTAGAAAAAAGGCAACAATGTCTTCTCTGACATATTTTATTTAAATGATAATAGTTTTACCAGGATATCAGAAAAATAAAGATAACATAAATACATTTGTGTATTGTGCAAAAGGCATCAAATAGCTATTAAATAAACAGGACAATACATGTTTGACTAAATGAGGCTCATAGTTAAATGACAATCACAAATTACATTTTAAGAAAGATACAATTTCATTTAAGATAAAATTTACAATTTCCAACATTTACATAAATGATAATTTTTATCTGTATTTATAGACACTAAACAAATATTTAAGAATTCATGGCCACACTCTCTATGTTACAACGTACTGTTTCATTTGAATATTTCATTTCATTGTTATTTTAATCAAATGTAAGTTTAGGTTACTGCGCTTTAACTTTTCATATCCATTTGAATTATGTAGGGTCATATGATAAGGTATTCTAATGAATGTATAATTACCTTCCTAATGGTTTAATTATTGCAATAATGGGTATCAACGAGCTGTTCCAACACCCAACTGGGGCAAACCCATTTCTCTGTTTTATTTATAATTTTTCTTTAGTATGTTGTATATCACATTATTTTTGGATTAACAAAATTTTTTTTGTATTCTTTCGGGTGATATTTCCTAATAAATAAATATTTTATTAGAATTTATAGGTCAATTTGTAAGTCTGAGTTTTTTTACAATAAAATGACTTTTTGTAAAAAAACTTTTTTGAAAATTTGTGTTACAAACTTTCAAAATAAAATTTCAGATATGAATCAGGCGTGTATAAGTACAACAGTCTTAGTGGAGCCCTCAAAGCGATATACAAAGCTGAAGGCATTCGAGGTCTCTCCTGTGGCTTAGGACCAACTCTGGCTAGGGATGCACCGTTCTCTGGCCTTTATCTCATGTTCTATACACAGTCGAAGCAGGCAGTGCCAAAAGGTGAGTTTTTGGAAAACAGATAAAAAATTACGGTCATGCGCCTAAATATATCCTTAATTTTACTATAAATTATACCATACTTACATCGTATTGCACGCGAACGGTTTACTAGATATACTTTGAAATATTTATGTATTATGATATAAATATGTTTCCGTCAAAGTTGTTTTAATATAATACATATAAAAAATTGTTTTCGTCAGTAAAAAGCCATTAAACATTGATACTATTTGATTTCACACCGCAGTTGATGAGTCCAGACATTTCAATAAACAATTTTCATCTTGAGAATGTGGACACAAATTATTAACAACAGCGCCATCTAGTTGTGAAATGGAGAACTGTTTACAAAATATATCAATTTTGAATATGTATAATTAAACCACTGTAAAATAATCTGTGTGACAATAATTTCAGTAGTAAGGTAGAAGTATAAATTTAAATAGAGTAGTAAACATTAGTATTTAATACGATTTTTCGTGATTCATTTTAGTCCAATAGAGAATATTAAGACATACATATCTGAGTCTGATTCATTGTTTATTTTATTTGGCAATAGTGGAAACAATTTCACCCGAAATTGAAACAAGGAACTAAGCGCTTATTGCGCGGTACTACTGGCACTATTATATAATATGAAATAATGTTATTATTAAAATATTTTCAGAATGGCTACAATCTCCGACTGCATCTAGCGGTATCCATTTCACATGCGGCGTATTAGCTGGCATCGCTGCGTCACTTGTCACAAACCCGGCTGATGTGTTGAAGACAAAGATGCAATTGTATCCCGAGAAATTCCCTAACTCATTCAGTGCTGCCATGTATGTGCATCAGGTAGGAAGAATAAAATTTGTTTGTTACCGGATATAAATAGATGCGCCCCAGAACATTCCACAGATAAGATAAAAATTGAAAACACATTCACAAAGACTGAAGTTCATCGTAATATAGATGGCGCTCTTCTCAAATAAGAAAATATATTAATTTTATAATAAACTAGCTGACCCGACAAACGTTTTGCCATGTATATTATTTCTAGGGAGCATTTTTTAGTTCAATAAAGAAAACTATCTACTATAATAAAAAAAATAGGGGTTGATCGTAGAGGGGTGAACATTAGGGGTTGTATGTATTTTTGTATGCTGTATCATAAAAAATAAAAACAAAAAAAAATGTCTAAAAAATTTAATGTTTGGGGTGGACACCCCTAATCACTTAGGGGTTTGAAAGATAGTAGCAGATTCTCAGACTTACTGAATACGCATAAAAAATTTCATAAGAATAGGTCGAGCCGTTTCGGAGGAGTATGGGAACAAACATTGTGACACGAGAATTTTATATATTAGATAAGTCTACTAGCCCAATAAATCGAGTATTATTGCGTTGGAACCCTGGATATGCACCATATATTGTGTATGTGCGGAATTACCACATAATCGAAGTCGTGACGAAGATATCGTAACAAAGAGGCGATTTAGACCCAAAAATCAACTTGTCTATAAAGAAAATTATGGTTTTCAGATTTTTTTATGTATCCTTCAAAATGATAAGCGCAGATATCACTAGTCCACGCGCGGTTAATTAATGCGCAAAAACTTATCGACGTCCTAGTGAGATAAATTATAATTTGCAATGCTTTAGTTCGATTAGGTTCAAAGTTATCAAAGCGGGTCGTTTACGTGATAGGATACTCAAAATATTATCTTTATACATAACAAATTCAACCGTAACGAGATAATGAAATATGTTAACGAATGTAATAAATACTTGGGATACCTTAAAACTTCGCTCCCATAGTAAACTCACTGTACCAGGAACCAACTTAACTACAGATATCACACAATAATATCGAAATAATTATGCCTGTCAGCGTCCGGTTACAATTTAACCCATCGTGGGATCGATTCTTGGCGAAACGATAATTGAGTCATGTTTGAGTCACCCAAGAGGGCCCCTGCCCAAGACATATTATTTTCTATGGATGAATGTGAAGTCTCCAATACGCATTGGGCTAGCGTGGTGACTACAGACCATTCCCTCTCGCCTGAGAGAGGAGGCCTATGGCCATTAGTGGGACATATACAACTAGACCACAAGCCCATGAACAAAAAATACCTGTGAAATGACCCAACGTGAATTACGCTTAGAAGGCTGTTACTATATCTGAAAATAGCTCTGAGCACTATGCCGTCATTTCTGAGCGGTACATGTGAGTACGTGAGTGAATGGACTTTCTCATGTACAATGGGGGAATTTCGACTAATTATTAAAGTACGGCTTTGTTATAAGTGTATAGATGATTAAAAATAAATGTCGAAAAACCTAGTGCCGTACAAAAGTGATGGTGCCGGAAGTCGGTGCAAATTTTTAATTCGACGACAGTTGCAGGAGCAATATAGGTCATTTATTACTGTACGGCATTTGTGTCATTCCTTTTGGACACATATACAGATACTTTACCCGTAAACGCCGTACATATTCCCAGCGGAGCGGTCGAAAGCCAAGGGTCGCAACATATGTCTGATTAGCATATAGGTGATGATGATATGAATCAACATAAAATTAAATGATCTTGAGAGTACTTCACAAATAGATAACATTTTCCAGCATGCCGTACATTTTTTTGTGGAACACATAGGTGTATGGGGCAAATTACTTTTCTCAGAAAAGAGTCATTTTCCGGTGACTTTTATCTGTACGGCAATAACACAGGTTATTAATACTTTAGACAATCTTCAATAAAAGATAAATGCCGTACACTTTCGATAGTCCGCTACCACCGCCTACCAATACAGGGCGTCCCAAAGTTATGGGAAATGAAGGGAAAGTACCTTAAATATCGTAGATAGGGTATTTTACTAAAAGAAGACTTTATGTTATTTTTAAAAGTTATTAATTCTGCATTCAAAGATTTTTTAAAAATTACTTGCCTCGTCTGGGAATCGAACTGACTTAAATGTAAAAAAACACCCCTACTTTTATGATGCCAATCGAAAGAATGGCCAAAAACTAATAACTCTTCTTAAGTAACATAGTATTTTAAAAGAAAGGAACAGCGTGAATATATCTTTTAATCAAATTAAAAACATTATCTATCGTATTCGGCCTAAAAAAATCCCCTACGAGTCTGTTACTTTAGAAAAGTTATTAGGTTTTGGCCATTCTTTCGATTGGCATCATAAAAGTAGGGGTGTTTTTTTTTAATTTAAGTCGGTTCGATTTCCAGACGAGGCAAGTAGTTTTAAAAAATCTTTGAATGCAGAATTACTAACTTTTATAAATAACATAAAGTCTTCTTTTAGTAAAATACCCTATCTGCGATATTTAAGGTACTTTCCCTTCATGTCTCATAACTTTGGGACGCCCTGTATTATATATATTTTTGTTAAAAATATTTTTCCTTTACCTCTCTCTGCTGGTACGATAAGGCTGTAAATATACTTTACAGCCTTATGGTAGTATACTCAGATATGTACAGTTATTAATGACCTTAAGGGACACCTCAAACGTCGTCGAAGTTTTTATCAGCTGTAAAGAATAATCTGGAGTAAAATGTACGGCATCTGGTTTTTTTTGTTTATTTATATTTGTTACATATAAAATAACAATAATCTTTGAAAATATTACTCCCCATATTACTCTAGGAGCATTTGAAAAGTCATCTAAATTTCATATATTTTTTATCATAATATTTTTATTTGTTACCATTTATAATGAACGGCTATAATGTACAACGGTAATATTTAGTAACATTATGTAAAAAAACAAGTTGCCGTACATTATTCTCTGATCTTACAGCAGTAAGAATTTGGTAAATCCTGAAATTTCGATAAATATTTAATTACACAAATATTAACTATATTATTTGGACGGCATAATTATAAAACATTATTGTCCGTGTTAAATAATATTTTGAACATGTTGCCGTACATTTTACAATGACCTTAGGGTATATGGGTGTAGGGGTAGGGTTCCGACCCTTGGCTTTCGACCGCTCCGCTGGAAATATGTACGGCGTTTACGGGTAAAGTATCTGTATATGTGTCCAAAAGGAATGACACAAATGCCGTACAGTAATAAATGACCTATATTGCTCCTGCAACTGTCGTCGAATTAAAAATTTGCACCGACTTCCGGCACCATCACTTTTGTACGGCACTAGGTTTTTCGACATTTATTTTTAATCATCTATACACTTATAACAAAGCCGTACATTAATAATTAGTCGAAATTCCCCCATTGTACATGAGAAAGTCCATTCACTCACGTACTCACATGTATCGCTCAGAAATGACGGCATAGTGCTCAGAGCTATTTTCAGATATAGTAACAGCCTTCTAAGCGTAATTCAGGTTGGGTCATTTCACAGGTATTTTTTGTTCATGGGCTTGTGGTCTAAACGTGTAATTGAGTACGCTGAAAATCTCGAAGTTTATTAAAATTAAACAGTACAACGTGACGATTTTTACTGATAGGGCCCAATAAAAATTTTTTGCCATGGGCCCCAGATGGTATAGTTACGCCACTGCAAAAGGATCAACTTTTTTGCTTTAAAACATGGAACAAATGCAGAAATGTTACGCTATAAGCTGCTGTCATAAGTAATTTGTAGATGTGTATCTAAACATCTGTCTTTTTTCTTTCAGACCTACGGATTTCTGGGGTTCTTCAAAGGAGCAGTCCCAAGAATGGTTCGTAGGAGTCTTATGGCAGCAATGGCCTGGACGGTGTTTGAGGAAATAACTCGATCTATTGGCTTAAAATAAACACTTTTTTTGATTTTCCTTAAGAGATGAGCTGGTATATGTTCCTAATTTTTCAAAAAATTTTTGGCCCAGACGTGAAGGGGCATTGTTTATTTGTGTTATTTTGTACTGTTTTTGTGTTAGGAAGCCTTTAGATAGGGTTTAGCTAAGCTTTATATACAAAACATATTATAGAATAGGGAGTACAATGTGATATCGTTATAAAATAAATATTTTATGAATTATTTTTTATTTTTATACCTAATCGTGACAAGCTAAATAAATTATTTTAACTAAGCCTTATTTTTCGCCTCATTTGCAATGTAATAAATACCTTAAAACTTGCTCTTATAAATTTATATCAATTGGATGGGTCGGTAGACACCGCGAGTCGAGCCAAATTATTAAAACTGATATTTTTTTATTATTTCATACAAACGAATTTATTATAAATTAACTTAAATTTTGATGTAGTTCCCTAAATATCCGTAGGGTCGCAACCAAGGTAAAAAAATACAACAATGAAATCGCGATCTTACAACACATTTCGACCATTATATCCGCCATATTCCAGCACAATACTTGATAAGGCAAGAGGTCGATTATCTGACCATACATAAATCGTGACCTATTAACTATTTGGGAACACAGAATTTCCTGTTAATAGGACTTTATAATAACACTATATTAGCAAATTTATGAATGAAGATTACGAGATTGTATCATATATTGACACGTTGTCTGATACGATAATAAAAGTCGGGTTATCGGAAATCATCCGATCGATTACGTCACCACAATAAAATAACATGTATATTAACAAATATATTTAACATTATTTACAATCTTGGTCTAAGATTTGTCTCATATAAACTCGATTCCTTCAAATTTAAGGTCTTCAACAAAACTATTGTCTAATAGCACAGTGCCATCCGTTCTAAATGCGGAAATGTATGTCGCGGTTTTCCCTTCAAATTCTGTTGTTTTCAATGCAACTATTGCTTCGTCATCTGTTCCTGGTATAAATTTGAATGATGAGAAGCCATGTTTAGGCTGGAGTTTTGTTATCTGGAAATGAAATAAAATTTCAAATTCCTACACTGTCAAGATTTAGTAGGTCATGGTGTGTAAAGCCCAAAAACTAATCAAATACCAGCCAAAATGTAGAAATAATAAGATCTTTTTTTATAATATCACTGTTTCATCAGATTATTTTTAATACATACCTGTTTAGCCTTACAACTATTGAAGTTATTGTCAGCAGTTATTAAATAGTTACAACCCATAACTTCATCCCTTGATTCATTATAGGGTTGCTGACTACATCTTCTTGGTAAGAAGTACCATTTATTATTAATTTCGGACCACATCCCTGATTCGTGTATCATGTATCCTGGCCATTCAATGCCAATGGACCGTCGTATTGTTTTGTATTGATGGACCCAATTTAAATGTTGGACCTAAAAGTAATTAATTGCCAAATTTTAGAATATAAATTGGATTCAAATTCTTTTACCAGTAAAAGGACACTATTAATTATAAGTGTCATAATATGCTTTAAATTAACCCAAAAATAAAAAGATGAAAGAGTCAGGTTGTGTGTGTGTTTAGTGTCTTAAAATTACTGTATTCTTTACTAATATCATTATATATTTTACTCACTAACACTTAGTTGCATTAAAAGTAGAAATAAAATTAGGTTACTTTTATGATTAGGAAGGCCTGTACTATAAAATACACCTTATAATTTAATCATTGTAAAACTTATAGTTGTTATATAATTAAAACGGTTTTTTAACAAAGTACAAGGTACATGCTCACAGAAAGAACCAAAGGAAGAGTGGTTCACCCAAATAACTGATACTAGGTTGTGGCACTGCTTCCACTATGTTACATAAAGGTTTTAATTACCTCTCCATGAATATTAATAGCTTTCACCCACATTGGGTCATATGTCTGAAATTCACCAGAAGCTGTTGTCCATTCTTTGCCCATAGACCCTACATATAGAATTTCATCTTTGATGGTCGCCCACTCCGATTTAAATCCTTTCTCATTGTAGCCATTACCATCTGACAAGATCGCCCATGGGACTACTTTGTTGTTAATTAATTCAAAAATCTGCAACAAAACATGTATCATTAAACACACACAACAATGAACACATTGTTGTTTAAGGTTATTATTTAAATATAAAATGTTGTTTAGCATGGCATTTTTATAAAAGTGATTTATGCTTATAAGACTACAATTAATATGTTAGAAATATAAATAATATAGCTTACCATTCCCGACCTATCATCAAAAGTAAGCAGTCGACCATCAAATACTATCAATTCAGATAATTCCATGCCTCGTCCTTTATGTGAATAAGTAGATGATAACAAAAGATTTGGTGTCCTATCCCATGAAACAGTTACAAATTTATCAACAGGATTGTAACTTAGGTGACCTTTTTTAAGATAACTATTAAAAGTGTAGGCCTTAGCCCCGTTTTTTGAATTTGTGTCCAAATCAGCCACAATTCCTATCCTATATGTAAAAATATCTCCGGAATGTATAACAGGTGAAAGTGGATATGTTCCATTGTACTGTCTTGAACTCCTCGTCCAACGATGTATTACTTGGTCACTGGTCCACCAATTATAATAAAATAACACAATTAAGAAAGCACCTACTAAAACAATTAGTAACATAAACTGAGGTTGTAGTCTCACTGTATTTCCTACTCTATACGTCGCTGGTGTCCTCAAAGCCTTTCGCCAATCGCGAAAACCACGCATTTTACGATCTTCAAATTCGTAATAATCATTCATAACTTCAACATTTAATATTAATTCATCATTTCTCCGGGATTGCAGTCGTAACAGAAAATAAATATGTATAATGACTAGAAAATGTATACTTTTAAGCACTTTTTATAAAGTACTGGTCATGATAATTTTACACAATAATTTAAACATAAAAGTGGAAATTTAGACATGATTAAATTTTTTAAATATAATAAACTTTTAAGCAACGTATAAAATACTGCTGACGGAGGGGCAGATGACGATTGACGCCCTGATTGACATTGAAGTTTTAAGTCAGAATCGAGAAAGTAGATTACAATATTATTTTAAATCTATTTAATTGTTGACTAAAGTATGTATTCTAGAATGTCGATCAAACTTAATTCTAGGTTCAAAAGCTGGGTACAAGTAGCGGCACGAAACTCTAGCGCTGACCGTTATTGCGCAGAAGTAAAAAATAAGGTACCTGAGGGGAGCTAGCGGAATGAAGAGCGGGCGCGCGTAGCGTCGATTGGCTCTCCAGTCGCATTCCGTCCCCCGCACCGATACGACGCCCCGCGCACATCCCGTGTACAGTCGCGTCATTAATATTATTGTTACTGTTGTTACGTTTTGTTGTTTTTTGTTACGTTTGAATTTGTTAGTGTTTTGTTGTTTGTTATTTGTTTTTAAGTTTGTTTGTGACTTTAAAGTGAATATGCCTAGAACAAATACTGTTTTGAAAAGACAAGCCAGGAAAATGGTTTATGACGTGAATTGTTTTTTAAAAAGGGAATCTAACGAATTAATTGATTCTTTGAAACAAATCCAAAGTGAGATTGACGAAGCTACAAATACTTTGTTCAGTCATTCGGACAGCAACATTGTAAATTTGAGCCAGATAAGACAAACTGCCGAAATCATTAAGGCAGGAAATATAAAATTTAATAGTATGATCAGCGAATTAGGTAAAATCCAAAAAAGGACAGCAGAGTCAACAAAAACGTCAATTGCATCGGTAAGAAACATCTCCAATCAAGCCAAAAGTTCTGATTTGATCACAGTGTTCAGAACACCTGGTAAAACACGTTCCAGAACAAAACCGGTCACAAATATCGATAACTTCGACCAAGTAATAAAGAGAACCGTTCATAACTTTCACAAGACAAATAATGAGCTTCCTACCATCGGAAAGCTTAAAAAGCAGCTAGAAGATGACATAAATTTCAAAGGTTTAGAACGAAGTCTTCGGCGAATAGTTAAGAGTTTGGGATTTCGGTGGAAAAACACCGAAAACAACCGGAAAGTGCTGATTGAGACTTCTAATATACGTTTGCAACGTATCGAATATTTAAGGAAAATAAAGCAATATCGCCAAGAGGGAAAGCCTATTGTTTATACAGACGAATCTTGCGTAGATTCATCGCACTCTTCTTCAAAAGCCTGGACCGATGGTACTACTAAGGGGCTTAAGAAACCTATTTCGAAAGGACAGCGATTGTCATTGTCCACGCAGGGTCTGATACTGGGTTTATACCTAATGCGTTGCTGACTTTTAAAGCTGGTACCAAATCAGGCGACTACCACGACAATATGAATTTTGAAAACTACGAAAAATGCCTCCAAACCCAATTAATGCTCAACCTACAACCCAGTTCCGTCGTGGTAGTCGACAACGCGTCCTATCATAATAAGCAGTGGGATTGCGCACCAACCTCTTATTCTAAAAAAGCTGACATGCAGGCCTGGCTCACTGAAAAAGGTATACAGTACGAGGAAACACATTTGAAACCTCAGTTATACAATTTAATAAAGATCAACAAAGATAAATTTAAAACATTTTCGATTAATCGAATCCTAGCTGAACGAGGTCATCAGGTACTGAGACTACCACCATACCACCCCGACCTAAATCCGATTGAAATGGCATGGTCGGATATTAAACAATATGTAGGCAGCAAAAATGGAGTGTCAGTAAATGTATAGACCTAATACAAGAAAAGGTTTTACTAATGGGTACATGGGATTGGCAAAAGTTATGTAAAAAGGTGAAGGATATAGAAGAGCAATATGCAAAGAGTGATCATGTCGTGGATTTGGTAACAGAACAATTCATTATTCATGTCGATGGAGATAGTTCCGAGGATAGCAATGAAGATGACGCTAGTGCTGACGAACGAAGCAGTCCTGAGCCTGGGCCCTCAGTAAGCAAAAGGCCTTGTTGCGAGACCATTGAAGGCGTGATACCGTTCTCTGATTCAGATTAATAAAAGATTACAAACTAAAAGATAATGTTTTTATTTTTCTACATACCATTTATCCCATAAACTTGTTAAAATATCTTAGGTCTTTTTTGAAATTTGTTCTATGTACAGACACTTTTTTACTGTCTTATTATATCTTATAGATAGGTAATATTACTTACATGCGCGACAGTAATCATGCGCAGCAGCTATCCTTCACATTTCGTTCAGCTTAATATCGTTATTTAGGTAATCATTAATCAAAGTGGCATATAATGTATTGCGTGCGCGACAGTACACATGCGCAGCAATCCCCTCCACGTATCGGCCAGCGCTACACTTACGTGCCGCTGCCTATAACGATCTTAAGGTGGCCATTCACGGGCGATCCATATAGCTTTCGCGCCACTGGCTCGATACTCGACGTCGTGCCGAGCCAAATTGATCATTGATGCCATTCACGAACGCGCCAGCGAGCCGTTCCATTTGATCATTTTGAGTGTAGGCGTCGATAGCACCGGACGTGTTCATAATGAACTTCAAACGTAAAGTGATACGGATGGTATTTTTATTTTGCCTTGACGTCCGATGATGAAACAATCATTTAACTGCAAATCTAGTGTTTGCCAAATTAACGGTAGTCATTATTGTCTTTCTCGATTTTATTATGGTTTAGCCAGAGTTTGTTATTATAACATTGGTTATAATTCTCTTTGCCATAATTTTTCTCTATAATCAATATTCATGTGACAAAGCTTTTAATGACACTGGCATAATACGTAATAAATTCAATTTCTATGTCTGTAATTGTTGTCGAATGGAAATTATAACAAATAATTATCTTTGAAGTGTAGTTTTTATTCCACTATTCTATAATCAGTATCAGAGCCTTAAAATAAACAGTTTTATGAATTATGTTATTGGTGACTAATTGCAAATATAATAATTAAAATGATGCACGGTCAATTTACAAACGTTCTATGGTACTTGGAATTCTTTGCTTTTGTGGGAGCTTTATCAGTTTTTTTCTGTTTCATATTTTATTTGGCAAAAATTAATTACGTGACATATAATATCCAGTACGATATGCGGCAAAAGTAAGTCGTGATTTCGGTGATTTGTCACTACGTTACCTACGCTCATAATATAGTAAATATTACTCACCCTACGATTCCAAAAGGGTTTGTTTAATATTATTTCTAAATCAAGGGCGACTATGAACTTATTCAGGTCATGACCTCCTGGTGTCTGGACAGAGTTTCACATATCACAAATTTTTAACTGTAACCCTAGTCTAAGATCGAATAGTTCACCATCAAATGTCCAATTTCCGGTGCAATTGAGGCCGTGTACCTATATGCCAAGTATTTGTATTTCTTATTCTTGTTAATTTTATTTTTTGTGGTTGGTTTTATTGAGACGTTATGTTTATTGTTGCAATTTTATTTAAATACTTTTATAAAATGAGAATGATTGTTATTTCCGATTTTCTGGTAAATTGTGTATATATTAGAAGCTAGAAAAATTGCCCTCTAAAAATCTTGCTGTTGTGTATTCTAAACAGTTCAATAAAGGATACACGTGAGTACACTATTGGTAATATGGATATTTTGTCTAATATACCTATTACATATTTTCAGGTACATGGCTGATGATACCTGGTTGATTCAAAGTTAGTACAATGCTGAGCCCGGAAACGAAAGTTAACATTTTACTGTACGTTTTGCTATTAAATTATTCAAAGGAACTTTTGTTTTAAGAAACTATAATTTATATTCAATTGCATGCCATGAGTATAAATTAAACCGTTAAATCGTCTTAACATTTGATGTTTTCATAATTTTTTTGCAAACTCCAACGACACGTAATCTGTTCATTGATATTTTTAAGGTGAGTATATGCCTTCTGTGCAACTGGCAACAATTTCGCCGGAAAACAAACTCAGACATCCTTACTCCGTTCTTATTTAGCACTGAACTCATTTAAATATATGTAATATGTATATCCAATTTTCTATATACTGATAAACAAAATTTAAAAAAAATCGATGTGATTTAGACAAATCCCATTCATGTTAATTTCGCTAATGATAATCTATTGCCAAAACCTTGTTAATAACTAAAAATACAAAAGTTAGTCTATGAGCTCAATTTTTTGAAAAACAAAACTGGACCACGTTTGGCCACAATCCCCTGATGTTAAGTGAGATGTGGCCTATTGGAGGGCACGCCTGTCCAGGAGACGCCTGTTTAACCGCCGCTCCTTAAACGACTAATGCGACAATTCTAATTCTAGAAATATAAATGTGATACAACTTTTGTTTAAGACGATTTGTCGCTTCCACTTACCACATTAATATTTTTTATAATAATAATATAAGCCTTTATTCAGGCAGAGTTTTTCATAATTTTAATCTTAATAAAAACTAGTGTCTCTAGTGAGTCGGTGACACCGACAACTCATCTGTTTGCCAAACTTTGGCAAAGGTCTCCTCCATTTCTTTCCACTCTGCTCTGAGTTTTCCTTGTCCATATTTTCCCAGTTACGGATTTTATTTCGTTTTCCCACCTTCGAAACTGTCTACCTCGTTTTCTTCTCTTATTTCTTGGGTTATATATTATGATCTTTTTGTTCCACGTTGTGACGTCTTCAATTTTCGTGTGGTTTCTTATGATTTTATTATTACTTCTATCGGACTTCCTACTTAGCATGCTTCTTTCCATCGCTGTCTGGCATGTCTTCAGCTTCCTGGTTTGCACTTTAGTAAGTGTATTTATTATAATATATTTGCACTGAGAATCAAGTGCTTATCGCCACCAATGGACACCATCCAGGAGGTGCTTTGCTGGCCTTTATGATAGTACGCTCTACTCTTAATCCTAGTAATAAATCTTCTACAAATGGAAAAAAATAGCCGTTTTTAGCCTAAGCATCCAAGTGCATTGTTTTTTGTAGACATCAAAAGCTGTCAGCGAGACCCAAAATTAAGATAAAAGAACCTCCCCAGAGACCAGTATGCTGTGACCTTGGCTGCATTTGGTTCTGTCGTCTGATGGGAAGCATTATAACTATAGCCTTATGCTATTACTTCGCTTACACGTTCATATCTGACACTAAACTGAAGTTCGGTTTGTTTGTACCCTAAATTCCAGTAAATTACTACATAATAAATGCTAACATAACTAATATTAATGTATTTTATTATAAATAGTAATAAGCATAAAAACCTTTAACTGTAGTAAACGCGACTACTATGATTACATTTATACTAACACAGCGGTTTGGTAATGTAATATATTATGATTTTATTATTCTGTAAAATAAATAAATTAAAAAAATACATCACCAAAATTACAATCAGTGGTGCTACAACCCTTGGTGTTGGCTTCAGATTTCTGTTATCTGTTTCGACTTTGCCGAGCAAGTGATAAATGCGTACATAGACATAAATGTTAATTTTGTACAGCTGGGGTTCGAACCTACGACCCATGCGATGAAAGTCGCTCGAGCCACTACACAAAACTGCTTTTTTTGAGCATCTAAACATACATTTTTTTTAGTACAGATATAACAAAACATGTGTATTTAATACTACCATAGACATTTGGCAAAAGCAAATTTCACTTTCCTTACATGAACATAGATTAGTCTATTATTTTTGTCGGCAGTTGTCTACTTTCAAAATCAATTCTTTAAGAGAACAAAGAGGCGTTATAAACTAATTGAAACTAATGCGAATCTAAAAGTGAAAACAAAATTAATGGTAACAAAATTATATTCACTTTAGCTTACACTAAACGTAAGCTAATTTATCATTCCTTAATCTAATCTTAATTGACGCCCCTAGCACCAAATACTGCTATTAAACTCAAAAGTTTACGGAAAGGTAATAAGTCAAATTGAAAGTTTATGTTCAGCTGTATGGAAAATGCTAAAGTAATACAAAAGAACAGTTTTTTTGGATTGCAAAATGCATAGTAGATAGTAATAGACACGAGAAATTAAATATATATATATTAATTTATGTTTGATGTACGCTAATACATGGGCACGGACTTCATTTCGGGATAAGTGATCGACACAACTACTCTATATACTCTATATGATTATCAACTATAACCTCTTAATACAATACGATGACAAGGCCTATGAATTACATTGGCTGGAGACAACTTGAGCGCATGGGCAAGATTGGGCAGTAAAGAAAGCACACATGTGCCGGTCCAGTAGTAGACCAGTACGTCTGCCTAGGAACCGCGGGATAGTTAGAGTGGGGAAGGACTTGCTGCAGCTAAAAGCCAGCTGGCGGGTGCAGTGGTACAGGACAGGCGTTGGACGTATGTCGTTTCGGAGGCTAAGACACTCATTTGGGTCGCAGTGCCAGCGAATTGAGTGAACTGTAACCTAAAGCGGTACTGGAATATTTGTTTATTAAACACCTATGTGCAGAAATGGTAAATATAATTAAGAAGATTAAGAAGAAATCTTGGGAACTGCTGAACTATTTAGTAACAATTTAATAACCGTTTAGTATCCTGAGTGGTACATTTGTTTTGCTTCTTTGTGAAGAAAGTGCGGACAACAGTTAGTATGAAATATAATAAAACTGCAGTAAGCAGTTCGTTGTACGTTTTTAATGTGTAATTTTTGCTCCAATTTTTTCGTAATTAAACATAATTAAGGATTGACTTACAGTAATTCTTAATATAATGGGAATTGGCACGGATTGATTTTTAAGATAATTTAAGCACATTTTTTACTTATTTAATTTATTTAGCCAACAGCTTTTATACAAATTACAAAACCAAATGTATAATTATTAACAAAGAATTGCCATTAACGGCCTACCTATGTACGGTATGAGTGTGTGCGTGTTTGTGTGTGCGTGTTTGTGTGTGGGTGAGAGAGTATTTTCTATATTTTTTACTGTTGTAGTCATTGTTTTATGCTGCTTATTCTTATGTGCTAACATGCTGGGTTCGATGTAATTTCTACGGTGTACTTTCTACTGAAATTCCCTGGTC